TTTAATGCATGTTACTATGTCAATGGTGGTTCATTTAATGTTGTAGTGTCAATATCTTGTATTTCATGTTACTATGTCAATGTGGTTCATTTAATGTTGTAGTGTCAATATCTTGTATTTCATGTTACTATGTCAATGTGGTTCATTTAATGTTGTAGTGTCAATATCTTGTATTTCATGTTACTATGTCAATGTGGTGCATTTCATGTTGTAGTGTCAATATATTGTATTTCATGTTACTATGTTAATGTGGTTCATTTCATGTTGTAGTGTCAATATCTTTTAATGCATGTTGCCATGCCAATGTGGTTCATTTAATGTTGTAGTGTCAATATCTTTATTTCATGTTACTATGTCAATGTGATTCATTTCATGTTGTAGTGTCAATATATTTTAATGCATGTTAACTATGTCAATGTGGTTCATTTCAATGTTGTAGTGTCAATATCTTGTATTTCATGTTACTATGTCAATGTGGTGCATTTCATGTTGTAGTGTCAATATCTTGTATTTCATGTTACTATGTCAATGTGGTGCATTTCATGTTGTAGTGTCAATATCTTGTATTTCATGTTACTATGTCAATGTGGTGCATTTCATGTTGTAGTGTCAATATCTTGTATTTAATGTTACTATGTCAATGTGGTGCATTCCATGTTGTAGTGTCAATATATTTTATTTCATGTTGCCATGTCAATGTGATTCATTTAATGGTGTAGTGTCAATATATTTTAATGCATGTTACTATGTCAATGTGGTTCATATAATGTTGTAGTGTCAATATATTTTATTTCATGTTGCCATGTCAATGCGGTTCATTTAATGTTGTAGTGTCAATATATTTTAATGCATGTTACTATGTCAATGTGGTTCATGTCAATGTGATTCATTTAATGCTGTAGTATCAATATCTTGTATTTCATGTTACTATGTCAATGTGATTCATTTAATGTTGCAGTGTCAATATATTTTAATGCATGTTACTATGTCAATGTGGTTCATTTAATGTTGTAGTGTCAATATCTTGTATTTCATGTTGCCATGTCAATTGGTTCATTTCATGTTGTAGTGTCAATATATTTTAATGCATGTTACTACGTCAATGTGGTTCATTTAATGTTGTAGTGTCAATATCTTTATTTCATGTTACTATGTCAATGTGATTAATTTCATGTTGTAGTGTCAATATATTTTAATGCATGTTACTATGTCAATGCGGTTCATTTAATGTTGTAGTGTCAATATCTTGTATTTCATGTTATTATGTCAATGTGATGCATTTCATGTTGTAGTGTCAATATCTTGTATTTCATGTTACTATGTCAATGTGGTGCATTTCATGTTGTAGTGTCAATATCTTGTATTTCATGTTACTATGTCAATGTGGTGCATTTCATGTTTTAGTGCCAATATCTTGTATTTCATGTTACTATGTCAATGTGATGCATTTCATGTTGTAGTGTCAATATCTTGTATTTCATGTTACTATGTCAATGTGGTTCATTT